GCCTGTAGTTCCAACTACTTGGAAGGATTGCCTGAGCCCAGCAAGTTGAGGCTGCAGTGGCTGTGATTATGCCACTGCACACCAATCTGGGTGACAGAGTGAGACTCCAACTCAAAAAACTTAATAAATAGCCGGGCATGGTGGCTCACGCCTGTAATCTCAGCACTTGGGAAGCCGAGGCAAGAGGACTGCCTGAGCCCAGGAGTTTGAGACCAACCTGGGCAATTTGGCAAGACCTAGTTTCTACAATAAATCAAAAACTGGCTTAGTGTGGGGTATACGCCTCTAGTTTCAGCCACTTAGAGGGCTGCAGTGGAAGGATTGCTTGAGCCCAGCAGGTTGAGGCTGTGGTAGCCATGAGTGTGCCACTGCACTCTAGCCTGGGCGACAGAGACTCCGACTCAAAAAATAAATAAACAACAAAAGCAACAAACTAGACAATCTGGCCAGTATTGCTTTTAGATGACCATGCCGTTCCCTATTCTTGCCTCCTCTGAGTTGAGTTCCCATTGTCTTGCCCACAGCACAACGCCTTCAAAACAAGGCCGGGGCAAACCCTCCTTCTCCCGGGGCACATTCCCAGAGGACAGCAGCGAGGATACCTCAGGCACTGAGAATGAGGCCTACTCCGTGGGCACTGGCCGCGGCGTGGGCCACAGCAGTAAGTACCCTCACCCAAGGCCAGGGATGCTGGGGACCCAGTGTAAGGGCCTTGCCAGCCCCCCAGCTGCTGATCCACCCCTTCCCTCCCATTCCTGTGAAGTGGTAAGGAAAAGTCTGGGCCGGGGAGCTGGCTGGCTGTCAGAGGATGAGGACTCCCCACTGGATGCTCTGGACCTCGTGTGGGCCAAATGCCGAGGATATCCATCATACCCAGCTCTGGTAGGCTTCCGCTTCTCTTGTCATGCCCCTTGTTTTCCAACCCCTGAACGCAGATTGACAATTAGTAGATCTTTCCCACTCCCTGCTGAGCTGTGGGGCACAAGATTCCTTGGCAGATAGACTGGTGGGCAAATACAGCATGAGTACCACTTAGAGGCCCCCAGTCAATTTCTCCATCTCCCTTTTCCTTCTCTTTGCCCCTTGGACTCCGAAATTATTTAGCATAGGAGAAGATCAAGGGTCAGCACTACACCCCTAGTAGCATGATAATTCCTCTGTCCCCACTTATGATGTATTTTCTAAATTCTTGGGTACAGAAAACTTTGGGGAGGAAGTGGACTGAACCAAACTGGACTCTTATCACACTTTCAGATCATTGATCCAAAGATGCCCCGAGAAGGTATGTTCCACCACGGGGTTCCCATCCCTGTGCCCCCACTGGAGGTGCTGAAACTTGGGGAACAGATGACCCAGGAAGCCCGAGAGCATCTCTACCTCGTCCTTTTCTTTGACAACAAACGAACCTGGTAAGGAAGGAGGGTAGCATTTGGTGTGACTCATAGCCACAGATGAAGCCCTGAGTGGTACACAAGCAGACTGCCAGAAAACTCCAACAGGCAGACTGGGCTATCACAAATCAATGAGGGGAGAGACTTAGAATAGATCTTTGAGCAAAAGTGTTGTGTTGACTAAGAATCTGAGCAGCCAAGTGTGCAGTAGCAGACAAATAGCTGTAGCTAGAAACCAAAGGATCATCAGTGACTATGACAAATGAGAGGTGACTTCCCACCCAGATTCAGATGGCTCCTAGACTTAGTTTCCCCACCTCTGCCTCCATGGTGACAAAATGAGGATAAAGCAGGCATAAACATTTAGACTCTGAATCCTGTATCACATTTACATATGTAGTTTTTTTTGTTAATTGTCTGCAGAAGAGGATATCCATTGTCAGTAAAGTCTGTTTGGAGCCTGTGGGACATGGTAGCTGTTTCTGGTTTGGTTAGGAATCCTTTTTGCATCCACAAATACCCTATAATTACCCTACACTGCCCCCCTCCAGTGTAACTGTTAACTAGGCTCTTGCATCACTAGATTATGAAAAGTCCCTTGAGGACAGGGGCTGTGTCTGTTGGTCTCTAATTCCAGTGCCCACGAGAGTCTGGCCAGAGTAAGTGCTCAGGAAGTGTGTTTGAGTGAATAGAATGAGGAAGGCTGGTGCTTGTTCTCCCTAAGATGATTCATTTAATCTTCATCTTGTCCTATAGGCAATGGCTGCCCAGGACCAAGCTAGTTCCTCTGGGTGTGAACCAGGACCTGGACAAGGAGAAGATGCTGGAGGGCCGCAAGTCAAACATCCGCAAGTCAGTACAGATCGCCTACCACAGGGCTCTGCAGCACCGCAGCAAGGTGCAGGGCGAGCAGAGCAGTGAGACCAGTGATAGCGATTGATACTGCCCAACACCAATACAGCCCCGACCTACAGTGCCCTGTGACCGCTCTCCTCCCCTTTGCTCACTGTCCTGGAGTGGCACCTGCCTCTGCACTGACTCATTCCTGGTCTTGGGGCCAGTCTCAGGGGAAGCTGGGTGGGGGAGGTCCCTCCTGCCCTGAGTGCAGCTGGACTGTACAGAACACTCCAAGGGCCCATGGCGGTTCAGCGCAAGGAGAGGGGAGGTCCAAATCAGAAAGAGCTCCAGAGATCTCACGGCAGAGTGGTGGGCCAAGGTTAAGGACACTGCATAAAAGAGGCCCTCCCACCACTTCTGCTTGCTCATGCCAGAAGAATCTCTTCTGCTTAGAGGCCTGAGGCCCCTATAGGTAGTGAAGTAAGCGGGCATCTGCCCAGCCTAGCAGTGGGATTGATGTCTGTCCAGCCTGGAAGAGGGGCACTAGGTGACCCCCTCCCCTGCTGTTGTAAATATTGTAATTATTGGAGAATTTAAATTATTCTCATTTGTAACTGCGTTTCCGGGTCGCGCCAGAGTCATTTGGTACTAAAAAAAGATTGGGGCTTGCCCTCAATTCCCTTCTCTTTCCCCTAGATTTCCCTACCTTTCAAACTGGTTTGTATTTATTTCAAAGGAAGAAAATATATTGATTCTTAGAAAATAAACTATTTAGAATTCTTTTTTCTTGCCTCCCACTGAGGCAAAAGGATACAAAAGAAAGTTTTGTGCTCTAGGGATGGTACATAATTGGGCCCAGTGGTCGCTGACTGATTTGCACACTACATATATAAGGCAATAACAGCAAAGATAAAATAGAGTTCCCATTTCCCATGCACCTAGGGAGTGGCAGGCCCTGTGCTAAAGCATCTGTAAGACACTTGGTTTCATGTAATCCTTGCAATAACTACGGGGTAGTTGAATAATAGGCTGGTTACCTCCACAAAGCTGCTGAGGCTTAGAAAATTTAAGTAACTTGCCAAAGTTCCCACAACTAGGAAGTCGCAGAGCTAGGATTTGAACCCAGGTCTGTTTGTCTGCAAAGCTGGCTCTTCAACCAATATGCCGAACTGCCAGAAGAAGAGTTAACTGCCGGTTTCTTCATGGATTCAGACCCCAAGCCCTTTACCAGTAGCATGGCCCAAGTGCCTCAGTCACTGCAGATGAGACCTTCCTCCTTGCTTAACTGGGAACAGAGCAGGGATGCAGAGGGTCGCTCTTCATTGATCTCCAGCCTTGGCATCTTTTCAAATTCAACCGGCATTTATTACAAGAATGCCCTCCAAGTGCTAGGCATCTGGGGGGTGGCATGGCTGTAGACGAGGTAGTCACAGGAGGAGACAGTTGCCTGAGGCCTTGCAGGCGCTGAAGAATGGAACTGCCATGAGGACCGCACTGGCCTGATGTTACACCACGCTCATGGTGCATGCTGTTAGGAACTATGGGTGGGACACAGATCAACGAGCTTCAGATCTTGCCCTTTAAGAACTTGCAGTCTAATCGTTGAGACACAACCAAAAGTCATTCCGCTAGAAGATGAAACGTGGTCCTGATAAGTTCGTATCTCCAAGTCTCTTGCTTTTCCGTTCGTGCCTTCCTCCAGAAGGGAAGATATCACATAATACATCTTCCTGGGTCCTGGCGGCTGGCACTGGCAACTGGACGAGGCAGCGAGTGGGCTGCCTCAGGGCTACCCACTGGAACCTGGATTCAACCCAGCGAGCTGCCTCTCTGGGCATCTGGGCCCAGCCCCCAACAAAGCCCCAGCACAGGCCGCATTCCGCGCAGGGGTGAGCAAATGGCGCAGTGAAGAAATGCCCAGGGCAGGCCTCTGGAGGCAGGAAGTTGGGAGGACGAGGCCCGGTAAGGAGGCCTTGGAGGGGGCAAGCTTAGCAACCGAGCGCTGAAGAGAAGCCCCTGGAGACACGTTGTGGAGACACTTCCGAGGGCTCTGAGGGGCCAGAGCTGTGTCCAGACAGAGTCTTGGTGAAGAGCCGGCTCAAAGGAAGCGGCCCGAGAAGAGCGAGTTTCTGACATTCTCGGTGGAGAAAGGCTCTGAGGACGGGCAGCCCTGAGGAACGAAGAGCCCTGAGGAGATCAGTCGGGAGGATTTGGGCCTCGCGGCGCACTTTGCGCCCGGTCCGCTGAGCGCGGCTATGGGACACAAGCGTGCCGAGTGCAGGCGTCCCGGGGGAGGAAAGGCCAATAACAGGTAGCGAGTCAACGCGCCAACCGCCTCGGCGCCTCGGTAAGGCCCGCCCACCCGCCACCACGCCCGGTTTCTCATTGGCGCCTCCCACTTCTCGGATTGGCTACCTCTAGGTCTTATAAGTGGCGCTGGAGCCCCACTTCCGGCGATAGCGAGGTCCGCCCACGGAGAAGCCGGAAGAAGCGCGCGCTTCCGAAAGTCCAGCAGCTGGGTAACAGCTGTGTGCGAGCAGAGGCCCTGGGGGCGGGGGAGGGGGCGGGACCTGCACCTCAGGGAAGCGGGAGGATTGGGGCAGGAGGTGGGGCTGCAGTGGGAGGGGCGGGGCTTTGGTGAAGGACGTGTGGCCCTGCAGGAAGTGGAGGAGTTAAATGAATTGAAGAGACTGAGAATTCCAGGACCCAGTAGGTTTGGCCTTAAGAGGCGTGGTCTCTGACGGGCTCTTTGGGCGCCGAGATGATCTAGTTCTGAGTGGGCAGGGCCATTATGGGGCGGAGGCTGGCGTGGAAATGGTAGCCCGCTGTATTCTGCACAGTAGCATGGGGCATCGTACTCTAGCCTCCTCCCCTACCCTGTGGGTCTCCATCCCGTGTCCACGCTCTGAGCTGCGCCTGGACCTGGTTCTGGCTTCTGGACAGTCCTTCCGGTGAGTGGGACCATGGCTCCTGACTCAGCACTGCCAGCAAGGGGTACGAAGGAATTATAGGGGTAATGGAAGAAACCCCAGGGTACAAAAGAGGAAACAGGCTTGGGTGGTCAGCTTTTATAAAGTAGGGTAGCCGGGCGCGGTGGCTCACGCCAGTAATCCCGGCACTTTGGGAGGCGGTGGTGAGAGGATTGCCTGAGCCCACAGGTTTGAGATCAACCTGGGCAATATGGCCCAGGTTGGTCTACAGTAAATCAAAAAATTAGCCGGTGGTGGCGCAGGCCTGTAGTTCCAACTACTTGGAAGGCTGAGGCAGAAGGATTGCCTGAGCCCAGCTGGGTGAGGTTGTGGTGGCCGTGAACGTGCCACACTGCACTCCAGCCTGGGCAAAGAGTGAGACTCAGACTCAAATGAATGAATGAATGAAATAAAGTAGAGGTAATCTGTCTATGCAGTATTATTGTAAGAATTAAGTAGTATAACCGATGTAAAAGATAACACTTTTACTTTGCAATTAGTAAATCAGTTTTGTACATGGAGCAGTTGTAGGATAGGAGAGACTCCAAAGTGAGCAAGAAGGGAATCTAAGGCTGCCTTGTACCTGGGAGCTTAGGTGGAGGGAACAAAGCCCTGCACACTGGAGTGGTGTACTGGCAGATCAAGTGTGGACACTGACTCAGACTGAGGAGCAGCTCTACTGCACTGTGTACCGAGGGGACAAGAGCTGGGATGGCAGACCAACACTAGAGGAGCTGGAGGCCGTGCGCAAGTACTTCCAGCTAGATGTCAACCTGGCTCAACTATATCACCATTGGGGTTCTGTGGACTACCACTTCCAAGAGGTGGCTCAGAAATTCCAAGGTGAGTACAGAGCCTGGGGTGGGGGCAGGGATCTTGGACACTGGTTAAGTTACTTCTTTGTGACTCAGTTTCACTAAAATGGGGATTATATGTACTTCATAGGATTAAAGGAGCTAATACATGAAAAGTGCTTAGAATAGTGCTGGCACATAGTAATAATTATTACGTTGTTCTTATCCTGCTGATCACCATAATGAAATGACAAGGACATTGAGCCCATTCCTGGCTGCAGGACCTGGGGCAGGTGCCTTCATTCATTCTGTAAATATATACAGAGCATCTGTCGTGTAACTGAGGATACAGCAATGAAGAGAGTAACACAAATCCCTCACATTGTGGCCTCTTTATCTGTAAAATGGGATGGTAAGTCAGACCTCACAAGATGCCATGTGGCATGAGAGGTCCCGTGTTGCTTTCTCTCACAATGCTGTCTCTCATTCCTCTGGGATCCCCCAGGAGTCTTAGTGCCTAGGTTCTGATCTGAGGGTGAGAAGAGGCCACTCCTGAGAGCAGGTACTTCTGTCCCCTGCCTTTCTGGTCCCCAGGTGTGCGACTCCTGCGACAAGACCCCGTCGAATGCCTTATCTCTTTCATCTGTTCCTCCAACAACAACATCACTCGCATTACTGGCATGGTAGAGCGGCTGTGCCAGGCCTTTGGACCTCGACTCATCCAGCTTGATGATGTTACCTACCATGGCTTTCCCAGCCTACAGGCCCTAGCTGGTGAGTAGATGGGTCTCCTGCCCCCAGGCCCTCCATCAGCTTTACTGGCCCTGGTAACCACCTTAAGGCTTCCTGACTTCCTAAAACCCTGGCCCTATCCAGAATCACACTGCCTGATCTGATCAGCTGGTCATCCTCCCTGTTCCTACCTGAAATGTCAGCTCTCACTAGTCTCTGCTTTTTGCCCAATGGGTTTATTGCTTCATCAGAAAAACATCTGTATACAGTGTATAGAAGTTTGGGGTTAAGAACATGCGTTCTGGAGACAGACTGCCTGAGTCTGAATCCCAACTCTGTTGCTTGGGCACATTATTTGGCATCTCTGTACTAAAATCTCTTCATATGTGAAATGGGATAATAATAGCACTTACCACTGTAATCCCGCGCTTTGGGAGGCTGAGGTGAGTGGATTGCCTGAGCCCGTGGGTTTGAGACCCGCCTAGGAAACTTAGTGAGACCTCATCTCTACAATAAATCAAAAAATTAGCCGGGTGTGGTATCGCGCGCCTGTAGTTCCAGCTACTTGGAAGACTGAGGCGGAAGGATCACTGGAGCCCAGCAGGTCGAGGCTGCGGTGGTCAGGAGCGGCCACTGCACTCCAGTCTGGGTGACAGAGTAAGACTCCAACTCAAAAAAATAAAATAAAATAAAATAAATTTTAAAAAATAATAGCACTTACCTATTAGGGCTGTTACAAGGATTGAATAAAAAAATACACATACCTGGCACAATGTTTGGCACATGGAAAGTATATGTAAAATTCAAGCTGGTATCACTACAGTGAACCAGACAATTTTGCATTCAAGAACACGTGTTCACAGCAGCCCTGTAAGGAAAGTATTTTAAGGGACAAATATCAATCAGCACTTGTGAGAACCACGCTAGGATAGGTGCTTGGGAACTGTATAGCAAGAAGACTGCCTGCCTCAAGAAAAGAGAATGTACTAGATGCTTAGAAACCTGATCTTGGCTGTGTACAGTGGCTCATGCTTGTAATCCAAGCACTTTGGGAGGTGGAGGCAAGAGGGTTGCCTGAGCCCAGGAGTTTGAGGCCAGCCTTGCCAACTTGATAAGACCGCCTCTCTGCAATAAATAAAAAATAAATAAACTGGGCATGGTGGTGCATGCCTGTAGTTCCAGCTACTTAAAAGGCTGAGCTGAAGGATCACCTGAACCCAGCAAGCTGAGGCTGTGGTGAGTGAGCATGCTACTGCACTCCAGTCTGGATGACAGAGTGAGAGTCCAACTCCAAAAAAAAAAAAAAAAAGCACAAGCTTTGGTGTCTCAGATCTTCTGCTACAAGGAGGTCCATGAGTAAGTGACTTTACCTCTTCTAAGCCCTTGTTTCTCCACCTGCAAAATGAGGAGGAAAAAAGTACTGTCTTCTGGGTTCTTGAGAAAAGTAAGCATGATATACCTAAAGCTATTATTATTTTTGGGAGTCAGAATCTCACTCTGTTGCTCAGACTGGAGTGCGGTGGCACACTCACAGCTACTGCGGCCCGGACCTGAAATCTTGGGCAATCCTTCCACTTCAGCCTCCCTGGGACTACAGGTATGCATCACCATGCCTGGTTGATTTTCTGACTTATTGTAGAGATGAGGTCTTGCCATGTTGCACAGACTTTTCTCAAATTCCTGGGATCCCAAAGTGCTAAGATTATAGGCATGAGCCACTGTGCTTGCCTGATTTTTTTTTTTTTTTTTTGAGTTGTAGTCTCATTCTGTTGCCCAGGCTGGAGGGCAGTGGCATACTCCTCAACCTGCTGGGCTCAGGCGATCCTTCTGCCTCAGCCTTCCAAGCAGCTACCATGCTTGGCTAATTTTTGGATTTATTGTAGAGACAAGGTCTTGCCAAGTTGCCCAGACTGGTCTCAAACCCAGGGACTCAGGCAATCCTCTCATCTCGGCCTCCCAAAGTGCTGGGATTATAGGGGTGAGCCACCATGCCCCCGCCTTTTTTTTTAATTGGAGTCTCACTCCGTCACCCAGACTGGAGTGTAGTGGCACACTCACAGTCACCCCAACATCAACCTGCTGGACTCTGGCGATCCTTCCACCCCAACCTTCTAAATAGCCGGAACTACAGGTATGCACTACCATGCCCGGCTAATTTTTTATTTATTGTAGAGACGAGGTCTTGCCAAGTTGCCCAGGTTGGTCTCAAACCTGCGGGCTCAGGCAGTCCACTCGCTTCAGCCTCCCAAAGTGCTGGGATTACAAGTTTTTTGTTGTTGTTGTTGTTGTCGTTTTAAGATATGGGTGCGAATGCTCTTTGGAAAGGTTAATGAACTTATCTGGGGAACTCTTCCAGGACAGCAGTCTTTCTCATTCCCTGTACTGGAGTTGGGCTCCAATGCCAGTGCATAGTAGGGGCTTAGAAGACATTTGTAAAGGGGCAGAACCTGGGCTTTAACCCTTTATTTTGCACATAAACATATCTCCTAGAAGGTGATGAGGTGGCTGGAGTTACATAGGAAAAGCATTCCTGGCCGGGAGTGGTGGCTCAAGCCTATAATCCCAGCACTTTGGGAGGCTGAGGTGAGAGGATTGCCTGAGCCCGCAGGTTTGAGACCAGCCTGGGCAACATGGTGAGACGTCATCTCTACAATAAATCATAAAATTAGTTGGGCGTGGTAGCATGCGCCTGTAGTTCCAGCTACTTGGAAGGCTGAGGAGGAAGGATCACTTGAGCCCAGCAGGTCGAGGCTGTGGTAGCCGGGAGCGGCCACTGCACTCCAGTCTGGGCGACAGAGTAAGAATCCAACTCAAAGGAAAAAGAAAAGCATTCCTGTGGGGAGAGGGTTCACATACTAGTCTGAGGGCAAAAAGGACTTGAGAATGTCTGATCCCTGCTCTCTTCCCCATTCCCCACAGGGCCAGAGGTGGAAGCTCACCTTAGGAAGCTGGGCCTGGGTTACCGTGCCCGCTACGTGAATGCCAGTGCCAAAGCCATCCTGGAAGAACAGGGAGGGTTGACCTGGCTGCAACAGCTACGAGAGGCCCCCTATGAGGAGGCCCACAAGGCCCTCTGTGCCCTGCCTGGAGTAGGCACCAAGGTGAGACCCAGGGAAGTAGGAGCTGCCCTCTCCAGCCACACTGAGAGTAAGGAGTAGGAAATGAAGTAAGTCTGAGAGCTGGGTGGAGGCTTGGCTTCTGGAGGCACAGCAGGAAGGGGAAAGAATATAAGCATATGTTTTCTGAGAGAAAGCAGAGTGCAAAAAGAGTATAAAGGGTATTGCCCCTTGAATGAATTTTGAGAAAGGCCATTGTTCAGGTACGTATATATGCTGCTATATGTATGCAGAAATTTCCAGAAGGAATTGCAGGAAATTTAAGTGTCTTTCTTTCTGGAGACAAATGGGAAGACATTTCCATGTTTTGTTCTTTTCTTGAAATTACATGTGCTTACAAAACTTTTATTTGGTGACAATAGGGTTAACTAGCAGTAGGATGACTGGAAATAGGGTATTTGTATTTTTGTTCTTTATACTTCTCTGTAGTTTAAAAAAATGAATTTTTGTGAATTTTTTTTAAAATAGAGACAGGGTTTCTCTATATTGCCTAGGTTATTCTCAAACTCCTGGCCTCAAGAGATCCTCCGCTTTGGCTTCCCAAAGCGCTGGGATTACTGTCACCACACCTGCCCAAAGATTTTTTAAAATTTTTATTTATTTATTTTTTGAATCAGAGTCTTACTGTGTCACCCAGGCTGGAGTGCAGTGGCACACTCATAGCCACTGCAGCCTCAGTCCACTGCGCTCAGGCTGTCCCTCCACCTTAGCCTCCCAAGTAGCTGGAACTAAAGGTATATAACACCATGTCCTGCTAATTTTCTTATTTACTGTAGAGACAAGGTCTTGCCAAGTTGCCCAGGCTGGTCTCAAACCCCTGGAGTCAGGCAATCCTCTTACCTCTGCTTCCCAAAGTGCTGGGATTATAGGCATGAGCCACCACGCCCGGCCTACAGCTATTTTTTAAAGTATTAATATATAATATATGTTGATTTAGAATATAGAACTATAGTAGCCTCAAGGTAAAGGAGGAAGCAGTGACTTGGGGGCTAGAAGAAGCATGCTGGCCAGATCCTGCCATTCCTCCTCAAGAACTCACTCTGTGTCTGTTAAAGGTGGCTGACTGCATCTGCCTGATGGCCCTAGAAAAGCCCCAGGCTGTACCTGTGGACGTCCACGTGTGGCAAATCGCCCAGCGTGACTACAGATGGCACCCCACTACATCCCAAGCAAAGGGCCCAAGCCCCCAGACCAACAAGGAACTGGGTGAGGAGAGTGGGATGCTTGGGCTGGTGGTGGGCTGAGATGGTAGAAATATGTCACTCTCTTAGTTACTTCTTCCTCAGACTCCATGAGCCATAGGGTCCTATTGATTTAGCTTCATCACTTCTGATTTAGGAAACTTTTTCCGGAGCCTATGGGGACCATATGCCGGCTGGGCCCAAGCGGTGAGTGTACCTAGGTTTCCCCTCCTCTTCCAGCCCAGCCACCCCACAGGACTTCTCCCCCAACTCTGACCCAGTAGACTCTTCCAGCAATCCATCCACATGGACTCTTCCACCACCACCACCGCCCAGGTGACCCTAAAGGACTCTCTAACTACCCAGCCCCAACCCCAGTGAACTTTTTTGCCCAGTCTGCTCCCTGCGACTCTTCCACCTCCCAGCACTGACACCAGCCCCGCCATCTCTGAACCCAGTGTGCCCTCCTTCCCACACAGACCTTACCTCCCCTACAGGTTCTGTTCAGTGCTGACCTGCGCCAACCCTGCTGTGCTCAGGAGCCTCCAGCAAAGCGCAAAAAGGGGTCCAAAGGGTCAAAAGGCTAAGTGGGGTGTGCCCTGGACAAAGGAATTCCCAAACATCTTTCCCCTCCACTCCCCACTTCTTTCTCCCCATCCCCCCCAGTCTCATGTTGGGGAGGGGGCTTGCTACAGCTACCTCAGGGGCCAGGCATCCCCAAATAACCAGTCAATTTGCACAACAAGGTGGGGGGTGGGCTACTTAGGGAGATAGAGCTATCTATGGTTTTATCTTCTTCCCTTTATTACAAGAAGGAACAATAAAATAGAAACATTTGTATGGAAAATGCCGTGAGGAGTGGTAGGGAAGGGAAAGGGTGAGGAGGGGGTGGGGCAGGGTAACTCCTCCATTCTGGGAAGGAGAGTAGGCTGCCCCCAACCCTTCCCATGCAGGGCACCTGACCCTAGATCCAGGGCCCTAGAGCTGGGGAGGCAGTGTGGGTGACAGTTCTGGTCCCGGCTCCACGCAGCAGTCTCGACAGCAGCATCCAGCCGCTGGCCCTGTGTGGGAAAAGAGAACAGAGCTGGCTACAGGGGCAGACCCTCCATTCTAGCCTGGGTGCCTCTTCATGGACCACCCATGCTCTTCCACAGAGCCCTGCTCTCACCCCCAGCTGCTGGGGTCAGCAGCTCTCCGTGGCTTGCCGTCTGTCCCTGCCCCTCCTGGCTTGTGCCCAGCTGCAGCTTCCTCATGTGCCGCACGACTGCTGTGGCATTGAAGGCTTGCTGTGGCGAGAGAGGGGAAAAGGGACTTTTGAGAGAGTGGGGGCTAGTGGTAGGGTTCTCCTATTTTAACTTAGATGCTATTTATTGATTCTCCTAAAACTTCTCAAACCTCTACAAGGCTTTATTAAATTATATTCAAAGTATGTATTTATGCACATATATTAACCGTGTGTATACATATATCTGAACAGATTTATGTAACTCTCTACATATAATTCTTTTTAAAGAGACAGGGTTTCATTCTGTGTCCCAAGATGGAGTACAGTGGCATGATCATAGTTCATTGTAGTCTCAAACTCCTGGGCTCAAGTGATCTTCCCACCTCAGCCTCCCAAGTAGCTGGGACTACAGGTGTGAACTACTGCACCCAGCTAATTATTTCATTTTTTCTAGTGGTGGTGGGGGGGGGTCTTTCTTTGTTGCCCAGGTTGTTCTCAAACTCCTGGGCCTCAACTGATTAAGGCCACCTTGGCCTCCCAAAGTGCGGGATTACAGGCATGAGCTACCACACCTGGTATACATATAATTAAGTCTTAGTCATATATAATAGTAAACAATATATATGTCAGGCAATGCTCTAAGCACTATATATAGTAATTAATTTAATCTTCACAAAACTTTTTTTTTTTTTTAGTCAGAATCTCCCTCTTCACTCTGTTGCCAAGACTGGAGTGCAGTGGCACAATCATGTGCCACCCCAGCCTCTACCTGTTGAACTCAGGCAATCCTTCTTCCTTAGCCTTCCAAGTAGTCAGAACTACAGGGGTGTGCCACCACACCCAGCTAATTTTTTAACTTATTGTAGAGACGTCTCACCAAGTTGCCTAGGCTGGCATCGAACTCCTAGGTTCAGGCAGTCCTCTCGCCTTGGCCTCCCAAAGTGCTGGGATTACAGATGACCATGCCCGGCCCACAAAACTCTTTGAGGTAGGCACTATTAACATCACTATCTTCAAAGGAAGAAACTGAGTGCAGAGAGGTTAAGTAACTTGCCCAAGTATATGCATGCATGCATGCATGTGTGTTTGTGTGTATCAGTCTCTAGTCAACATATTCACCAAGATGTCCCACATATCCCTCTAATTCTCCATGTCCAAAACTAAAGTCATCCTCTCGAGGCATGTTCCTGCCCCTGAGATCGCCATCTCAGTCATGATTCCACTGTCCACTCTGTCCTCCCATACAATCCTGGGCCAGCCCTTAATAAGATCTCTTTCCCCAGACATCCATTCCATCATCACTTCTTGTCGATTCTGCCTCCTAAATGACTCCTGCATCAACCACTGTTCTCTATTCCTGTCACTACTGCTCTGGTCTAAACCCTCACCATCTCCTGCCTGCATCTCCACCACAGTGTCCTGATGAATCTCTGTGTTCACTCCATGCTGTTATCGGCATCCTTTGAGCCTTTCAAGGGGAAAATTTCTGCTTAAGATTCTTCTGGGGCTGCTCAGTGCCCTCAGGATCAAGTTGGTGCTCCACTGAAGCCCCAAGTAGCCTGGCCCTACCTGCTTCTCCAGCCTAGGCTCCTGCCTCTCAATCTGCTCAGCAACTCCACTCTAGCCAGTCTCAGCACTTGTACTTCTCTGAATAGCTGCAGACATTATTCCACTGTGCCTGGCTAATTTCTACACAACTGACAGCTCTGACATGTCATTACCACCTTTCTGACCTTACCCAGACCCCAGAGGCTGGATCAGATGCCTCCTGAAGAATTATAGACTGTTCTTCCTCTAGACTTGGAGGTCAGGGACACTCTCTGGAATAGAATAGGTGTCAGGGAGCGTTTGTTGAATTAATGCATGAAGTCCTTGGGTAGGCGTGCTGAGCAGTTAGTGTGTGCCCAATTTGATGTTGGGTGCTGTGTGAGCTGAGCCTGGATGGGGGTGGGGAGAAGTCTGGGGAGGCCAGGACCCAGGATGAGGGACACGGACTCACCTTCCACTTGCTCTTGGCAAAGTTCTTCTTGATCTGCTCACTCACTGACTGGTGGATATTCTTATCTAGAGCCGTGTCTCCTGCAATCCTAAGAGGGATATGTGGAGAGTTGCCTGTGAGGGCAGGCAGGCCTGGGGGCCCATACCCCACCCCAACCCACAGCTTATGGGAACTCTCACCATGGGTGCTGCAAGGCCTGCTCACAGGTGAACCTCTTCTCTGGATCCTTCTCCATCAAGTGCCGGATGAAATCTTTGGCTGAACCCCCAAGACAAAAGTAAAGACAGAGACAGCGTGATAGTGCCTGTGAACACCTCCAAGATATAGGATCCACTCCCTCAGGGTTGGCAGAGATGGCCAGAGGCAACACAGAGAGGCCAGATCTTTTCATGCATGACCTCACCTGGCCTTTGCTCTTCTTCTAACACCCTTACTCCCACCTCAACCCTTCCAGCTCTCCCTCTCTTAAGGAAAACTTGCCCTTTTTTTTTTGAGTTGGAGTCTCACTTTGTCACCCAGGCTGGAGTGCAGTGGCATGCTCACAGCCACTGCAGCCTCGACCTGCTGGGCTCAGGCCATCCTTCTGCCTCAGGCCTCCAAGTAGCTGGAACGACAGGGCATGCGCCACCATGCCTGGCTAATTTTTAAATTTATTGTAGAGATGAGGTTCCGCCATGTTGCTCAGGTTGGTCTCGAACCTCTGAGCTGAGGTTAATTCTTTTGCCTCCGCCTCCCAAAGTGCTAGGATTACAAGCATGAGCCACCGCACCTGACCTAAGAAAAACTTGTTCTTAAAGAATCTACTTAGTGTATTCCCATTGATGTGTAATGAAATGATATGGCTTCACAGTTTTGCTTCCTAATGGGAGCACAAATGGAAGGATTAAAACAAGTTTCTCAGACTGGGGGGCCAAGCAGAGGGAAGAACCCTGAGTAGGTTATCTGGTCTCCAAGACAGCTTAGTCTGGGGCTGGAGAATCTGACAGAAGGAAGGTAGTAGGGAAACTACCCCCACCCCCGCCACCCCCCAAAGCAGATGAGAAAGGTACCAGAGGCAGGGCCCAGGGTAAGAAGGCAAAGCCAAGAATACCAGAGTCAGAGATGTCGTCCCAGTAAGGAGAGTCAAACTCATACTCGGCCTTCAAAATCTGTTCAAAAAGTTTGGCATCATTCTCATCATAGAAGGGCGGATAACCACAGAGCCTGGGCAGAGAGAAATTCATCCTCATTTCCACTTCCTGTGCACTCACTGACATGGGTTGAGCTTTGGGGCAGTCCCAGGGGTCAGGCAGGACCCACAGGAAGCAGTTCCCCCTTAGTAAACTCTGTCCCTCCCCTCCTCCTCACTCCTGTCTAGCTACACTGGCCTTCTTTCTGTTCCTTGAACACGCTGCCATCTGGCCCTCTTCAGGGCCTTTATACTTGCTGTCCCCTCTGCCTACACCACTTTCCCCCCATACCTTAAATGTTTGACTCCGTCACTGCACTTGGATGTCACCTCTACAATAAGGCCTTCCCTGACCTCCCCACCTGAAATGGCATCATCCCTGTCTCCCTACACCAGCTTGATTTTTCTCCACAGCCTTCTTTATAACCTGATGCTATTTTGAAGATTTATTTACTTGTTGATTGTCAGTTTCCCCTAGTGGAAGGTCAGCTCCCTGAGGGCAGGGTTTACTCTCTGCTAAATCCCCAGTGCTTGGCACAGTGCCTGAAACATAGTATCTATCGAATAAAGTAATATTAGTAATTAATTGGTAGCAATAACTACAATTAAAGAAAGGAAGGAATAGCAAAGGGAGGAAAGCAGGGAAGAGAACAACTCGAGCCACACCCTGCCATGGCCAAGCCCGCACTTACAGGATGTAGGCAATGACCCCAATGGACCAGCAATCCACGGCCTTGCTGTAGGGCTTCTGGGCCAGGACCTCAGGGGCTATGGAGAGAAGGGGACATGGTGGTGACCAATCTCTGCCTTGCAGTTCATGGTCCCTACCCCTTCCACAGCCCAGCCTAGGGCCCTTCGCACCCACGTATCCCGGGGTCCCGCAGGCAGTGGAGAGCACACTGCCCGGGTCCTCCATCTTGGAGAGGCCAAAGTCGGAGATCATGATCTTGGAGTCTTCATCCAGGCTGTAGTACAGCAGATTCTCTGGCTTGGGGGTAGGAGGGAGGGGAAGAGGTAGTCAGAGATAGCTAGAGGCTGGTAGAACCTTCTGCCTCCCCAAGCACCCCCTGAGAAACAGTGGACACCCCCAAAACCACGGTGGCTTCATGGCTGCCATCTTGGCTGGAGGGATAAGAATATCAAGGAAGTTCTCAAAAAAACCAAAAGTTCCAGAAAGAACAAAGGCTAAGGGGGTTTGGGAGGGAACGTTCTATAAACTTCAGGTGTGTATTGTAACCCTCAAGAAATTTTTGAGTGCTTCATGTCATTCTTACCACATCCCTGCAGGCCAGTCTGAACAAACTATTTTACAGATGAGGAAGCTGATGCCTTCAGAGGCAAAGTGATTTGCCCAAGAACCCACGGTTAAGGAGTAACAGGGCCAGAATTCAAAACCAGATCTGTCCCCCAGTGCTCTTCTCCTAAACTGGAATGAGATGTACTACAAAATGTTAACACCATCGCTGTCTCTAAGGAGTAGGATTTCCAGGATTTCTGGCTTTTTTCTTTTTTTTTTTTTTAGTTGGAGTCTCACTCTGTCACCCAGACTGGAGTGCAGTGGCCGCTTCCGGCCACCACAGCCTTGACCTGCTGGGCTCCGGCGATCCTTCCGCCCAGTCTTCCAAGTAGCCGGAATTACAGGCATGCGCGACCACGCCAGGCTGATTTTTTGATTTATTGTAGAGATGAGGTCTCGCCAAGTTGCCCAGGCGGGTCTCGAACCTGCGGGCTCAGGCAATCCATTCACCTCAGCCTCCCAAAGGCGCGGGATTACAGGCTGAGCCACCGAGCCCAGCTTGGCTTTCTTGATGCTTTGCTGTCCCATCCAACTTTTTTTCAAGGCTCGGTGAAGGGGTAAGAGGTGCCCAAGGTGAGACAGTGCAAGGTCTGCAATGGCCCAACCCCTGGGTGCCCCAACTCACCATACTCCCTTGAGCCCCACCTTGAGATCCCGGTGTACGATGCCCAGGTCATGCAGGTACTTGACAGCATCCAGCACCTGGAAGATGAGGCGGCTGGCATCCCGCTCTGTGTAGAAGCCTTTTTCCACAATGCGGTCAAACAGCTCGCCGCCCGATACCCTGCAGCAAGGGATAGGGCAGTCTGGCCAAGAGAGTGGAGGCAGCAGGAGGAAGTGTGAGGAAAGGGCAGAGGTGGGCCACTCACAGCTGCATGATGAGGTAGAGGTGGCCCCCACTTTCATAGATGTCATCCAGAGCTATGATATTGGGGTGCTTGATCCTGAAAAGAGAAATGAGGTGGTTCAGCTAGGCACAGTGGCATGCACCTATAGTCCCAGCTACTTGGGAGGCTGAGACAGGAGGATCACTTCAGCCCAGCAGTTCTAAGCTGCAGTGTGCTATGACTGCACCTGTGAATAGCCATGCACTCCAGCCTGAGCAACATAGCAAGATGCCAACTCATTGAAAAAAAAAAAAAAAGATGTGATTCAGAGCTAAGGACAACTCAACCACCTCCCCACCACCTGCAAACCTAGGCAGTAGAAACGTAGGATATAGGCCTCAAAGCGAAAAACTGATTTACCGTGATTTATTATAATTTCTTGGGAGGCAAGAGAACTGAGGTGTAAACACTGAGTTCTGGCATCAGACAGATCTAGGTCCAAATCCTGCCTCTATCATGTGCTATTTGGTTACAAGTCTTTTCACCTCACAGCACTGATCAATATATGAGGGTTTTTTTTTGTTATTGTTGTTAATTTTTTAAAGACAGGGTCCTTCTGTTGGCCAGGCTAGAGTGCAGTGGCTATCCACAGGTGTGATTGTAACACACCTGTGTTCAAAGTCTTGAACTCCTGGGCTCAAGCAATCCTCCTGTCTTGGCCCCAGAGTAGCTGGGACTATGGGTGCATCACCACACCCAGCTGATGTATAACTTTTTTAAAGAGTTTCCTGGCTGGACTCAGTGGTTCACACCTATAATCCTAGGACTTTGGGAGACTGAAGCAGGAGGATTGCTTGAGGCCAAGAGTTCAAGACCAGCCTGGGCAACACAGTGAGATCCCATCTATACAGAAAATAAAAATTAAAACATATAAAAATTTTAGCCAGGTACTGTGGCTCACGCCTGTAATCTCAGCACTTTGGGAGGCAGAAATGAAAGAATTGCCTGAGCCCGAGGGTTCAAGACCAACCTGGGCCATTTGGCGAGATCTTGTCTTTACAATAAATGAAAAAATTAGCTGGGTGTAGTGGCACATGCCTGTGGTTCCAACTATTTGGAAGGTTGAGGTGGCAGGATCCCCTGCTCAGCATGTCAAGGCTGTGGTGGCTGTAAGTGTGCCACTGCACTCCAGTCTGGGTGACAGAGTGAGACTCTGACTCAAAAAAACAAAAAACAATTAAAATTTAAAAATATAAAAATTTTAGCTGGGTGTGGTGGCTCACGTCTGTGATCCCAGCACTTTGGGAGATGGAGGCGAGAGGATTGCCTCACCCCAGGGGTTCTAGACCAGCCTGGGCAACTTGGCAAGACCTCGTCTCCACAATAAATTTTTTAAAGTATGCCATGCTTACTGGCACACTCCTGTGGTTCTAGCTGCTTGGAAGGCTGAGGCGAAAGGATTGCCCAAGCCTAGCAGGTCGAGGCTGCTGTGGCTGTGAGCATGCCATTGCACTTCGGCCTGGGTGACAGTGGGACTCCAACTCCAAAATAATAATAATAATAAGCTAAAATAATGCCAATGATAGTACTTCCATCAAAGAGTTGGGGTAAGGATCTCATGAGATAATGCAGGTAAGATGCTTGGCACAGTGCCTAGCACATAATAAAAACTCAATACATGAACCAATAAAAGTAATTGATCTTATGATGTGAAAGATTCAGCTGTGCCACAAACTGGCTTTGTAACTGTGGGCAAGACCCTTGTCCTCTAGGCTTCATTCTCCTAGCTGCCCTCAGCCCCTGATGGAGACGGACTGTAAGTGAAGATTCTCTACAAACTCCAGTGAAGGCAAGCAGCTCCATATCAACATGAGCAAGTCATAGACCACTTAGTTGTGGATTTAGCCTGAGGGTCAGCAGACAGCATTTTTTTTTAAGTTAGGATCTCATTCTCTTGCCCAAGCTGAAGTGCAGTGGTAAGATCATAGTTCAGTGTAACCTTGAACTCCTAGGCTCAAGTAATCCTCCTGCTGAAGTAATAGGGAGGACTACAGGCTCATGTCAGCACACAAGGCTGATTTTTTATTTTTTGTAGAGATGGGGGTCTGGCTATGTTGCCCAGGCTGGTCTTAAACTCCTGGCCTAAAGAGATCTTCCTGTTGCCGGTGCAGTGGCTCATGCCCATAATCCCAGCACTTTGGTAGACGGAGATGAGAGGATTGCCTGAGCCTGAACAACATGGCAAGAACTTGTTTCTATAATAAATCAAAAAATTAGCTGGCATGGTGGTGCATGCCTGTGGTTCCAGCTACTTGGAAGGCTGAGGTAGAAGGATGGCCTGAACCCAGCAGGTCGAGGTTGCAGTGGCCATTGAGCATGCTACTGCACTCCAGCCTGGGTGACAGAGTGAAACTCTGACCCAAAAAACAGAGATACTCCTGCTTCAGCCTCCCAAAGTGCTTGGATTACAGACATGAGCCACTGCACCCAGCCAGACAGGCATTTTACAACTTGTTGAGTGGTTTTAATATATGGAGGGAAATTGAGGTAGGTCTAAAGATAACACCAGTTGAAATATGTGGGTCCAAGCTGTGTTCAGGATTGACCTTGAGAACTGATTGAATAGATTAAATCACTATAAATAAGCACTGGCATCTCAATCACATATGTCATGTTAGCTGTTGCACCAGGCACTTAAATAAAGGACCCTTACTGTTCCCCGCAACCCTGTCAAGTGGAAATCATTATCCCCATTTTATAAGTAAGCAATTTGCAGCTCAGAGTTTAAATGATTTGCCCAAAGCAGGGAAGGGCAGGACAGGAGGGTCAAGGTAGGGTCAACCTAGGGCAGGGACAGGCTGTGGCCCACGCACTTGTGCAGGACAGTGATCTCATTCTCCATGCTGCCCTCCTTGCCCTCCAGGGCCTTCTTGGCGATGCATTTGATGGCCACCAGCTTCTGCGTCCTCTTGTCTTCTGCCAAGATTACCTCCGAGAAAGCCCCCCTATGTGGAAAGGGTATTCACAAGGTTAGCTAGAACCCCAGTTTCCCTCCAGACTCTCTTCCATTCTCCATGGTTTATATGATGACCACCTCTAGACCAAGGCCTGGCCAGTCAGAGTAGTCTATCCCCTCGCCACAGTAACCGGTCATGTGATGCAAGCAAAGTTACTGGCTTTGAGAATGAGGCTGTTTCCTGCTAAGCTAGTAGAATGTAAGCCTGGAGCTATTGGTGATTATCTCTGCCACCACTTAGTAAGAGCCTGCTTGAGAATGAAGCCAACACAAAGGAAGTCAGACCTGAAAAATGTTTCTTGATAACATCACATGGGCCTCTGGATATAGCCATGCCTAAAGTCTACACCTGAGCTTTCTGACTGCTCTGTTGATTCATTCCTTTTTCTGCTAAAGCCAATTTGAGTCATGGATAATTTAACATCTTTTAGAACCTGGAAGAACCATCAGTGTCACCTGGAAACTTTTTAGAAATACAGAATCTTAGGACCCACCCCAGAGTACTAAATCAGAATCTACATTTTAACAAAATCCTCAGGTGATTTATATTCTTACTGAAATGAAATCATTTACTGTAAAGTTCACTGATTAAGGAGGGTTTACTAGGGCATTATTTTCATATCTATTTGCTTTCCTGGGGAGAATAAGAAGTTATAAATGGATGTAAAGCATTTCTCATGGAGAAATTTAAATCATCGGGGAAAACTAGTGACTGTGATAACGTCATCACTGGGTTCACAATCTTGTCCCTCTCCAATTTACCCTGTAAGCTGTGGTTGGGGTGACTATCCTGAATTACAAATCTGCCAAAAAATCGTAAATGTCTTCCTGTGACCCATAGGATAATGTCCAGCCTCCTTCAAGGCCCTACACAAACTGTTCCTCTCTCATCTCCAGCCTTTTCCATCCACTCTTCCTCAGCCTCTGATTTAAAGCTCCACCAGACTCCGCCCCTTTCCACACATACCATGCCTCTGAGCCTTTGGTTATGCTATTCCTTCTGTCTAGAATGCCCTTCTTCCTCTCTGACAGGTACACACTTACCCATCCTTCAGGCCCCAGATCCAAGCTTCCTTCTCCAGGAAGTTTTCCCCCAGGCAGAAGCACAGCTTTCTCTGGCTCTACAAAGCCCTCATTCCCAATCTTAACTGGAACACAGCACACACCCTGTTGTCATTTTCTCTGGTCTGTCTCTCTCACGTGTATGGGATCATCTTGAGGGGCAGAGACCAGGTCTGAGCTATTTATAGATTTCTAGCACCAAGAACAGAGCCATGTCCAGCCTCAGTTTCCAAACCTAGGCTAGAACACCCAGCTCTTGGCAGCAAGTTAGATAGACTGGCCCCTTCACTCTCACCTGCTTCTCTCTTCAACAACAACCCAGCTCTGGGAAGAGCAGTCCCTGTCCCACCCATTGCCAGCCAGAAGTGAATTGCTGGGGCCAGTCTAGGCCCTAGGCAGAGCTGCCACACGGCCTGGGCTGCAGGAAACAGGAAGCATTGATCAACTGACCAGAGGAAGTACCACCCGGAACTCAGCGTCCTTCAACCAGCCAGTCCCCCATCCTGCCCCAAGACTCACGTGCCAAGAACATCTCGGAAGTCATAAATGTCTCTGATGTCCTCTGCCTGCTTCCAGCTGGGGCCTTCCACTGCCCCTGGCATGGTCCACTGCCCCCCAGCCACAGCCAGGGCTCCTAGGAAGAGAAATGGAAGGAGGAGACTCAATGGGGCCAGCCTTCTGCCTGGGAATTTTCTTGCAAGCCCTATTCAGTCATTCAACCTGCATTAATTCATTCCTTGATTTATTCATTTGACAAAATTATTCAACAAACATTCATTCATTCACCAGTCATTTGTTTATTCAACAACATCCATTCAACAAATTCTTATGCCTAGAGAAAAGTCTTTCATGGTGACAGCAAAATTCTTTATTCAACAAAGTCATGCATTCATTCATTCAATTATTCAAGCTCACTTCCCAGTTTCCGCCTCTCCAAATCCAAACACTCAGGGAAACCCTGACCTCTGGCAGTACAACAAATAAAACCCCAGAGCAGCTGGTAGATGTGCACAGCCTGGAAGATCCCCCTGCCCCCAGAACCAGCAATGTCCCAGCCCCACCCTGGGAATTGCTGGGGTGTATCCTCTCCCTCCTCCTTTTTCTCCCCTCCTGGCCTCTCAGAAATCAGGTTTCCGGCAGCCTGGGCTTCCAGCAATATCTCAGCCACATTTTAAAATAGCTCTTTCTGCACTGTTACCACGGTAACAGCAGCAACAGCTGGAGCTCCCCAAACCTCTCCTTCCGACTCCCCATCTAGGTCCCAGCAGCCTGAGAAATGGTCCTAGCCCCATCTCACCAAGATCCAACCTGGGCCTTCCCCTGCTGAGACCTCTGTCTCATCCAGATGGAGAGGGTGGGAGCTCTCCCCATTTATCAGGTGGAAAATGGGAAGACTGAAGTTTCACGTGGATGGAGGCTGGTCCAGATGCCCATGTGACACCCTGTTGGGGCCCCAGCTAAGCTTGCTGAGGGCAAAGGCCATGGAGGAGCTGCCCTCAAGGGTCTTTCTGGTATGAAGCCAAATTGGGGCCCAATCACAGAACACAGGATCTCAGCCCTATTGCAGGCACATAGAGGGTGAGGCCAAAACAGCCCAGCATACTACGTGACCTCTCTCTTTTCCTCTGGGGACGGTGCCCTGACTAGAGCCCCTGCTACGAGATTCCACTCCTTGAATAGGACCTTGTTCCCAGGGGACCCTGGCCACCCATCCCAGTGGCACAGTCCACATACATGCCTGCACCAGACATCCCACACTAAGCTGCATCCATACCCCTGAACCAAACATCTGCCTCCCAGATCCAGCACACCTTGGAGGCAGATCCCGTGACACCTGATCATACAAGTGCACCCAGACAGCCCACAGCTCCACACACACATTCCCCCAGACATTCTTACATCTGAACACTTACTTGCCTGTCCATCCAAACAACCTTCACCCAAAACTCACATCCACATGCACCTGGACAAGATGATGCCCAGACACAACACACACTCCACAGTCCCATATACAGACACCCCAGATTCACTCATATCCTGCAGCCTCAGCTCCTCCATTCCATATCCTAGGAGTTTCTATACTCCAACCCAAACCAAACGCCAACTCCTTACAGGCATAACTCCAAACATCCTTAGTACACAATGGTACACCGCCTTCCAACTCTGACTTAGTACCCTTAGAGCCAAATACCAGCACATACAGCACCTGAACACCCCTCTGCAACAAAAACCACTGATTCCCAGATATCCCCACCCATAAGGATACCCTTACACAAGGCACTGCAACCCCGTGTCCGATCCACATGCCTGTCCTAAGACATTAATTAGTACACCCTACTCCCGCCCCCACATCTGTACCTCCAAATGCCCACGCTCTTCCACATTCAGGGCCAGCTGAATGCGCGCGCACAGACACACACACGCACACGCACACACACACACACACGCACGCACACACGCACAGGCCCCCGCCTCCCCACCGTCCTCTGTTGCCCACTCAGTTTCCCATGGGCCTGCCTGGCACCAGCTGGGCCCGGGGCAGAGGTGGGGGAGAAAGGCCCAGCCCTGCCCGTCAGGGTCCAGCCCGCCCAGGAGGATACCCAGCGGCCGTTCCTTGAGGGAGGACACTGGTGGCTGGGGGTTCCCGCCGTTCCCCCGCAGCGCCCAGGGGCGCAGGTGGCGGCCCCCGGCTGTACCTGCGGCTGCCCCGCCGCGGGGCTGGCTGGAAGGCCCGAGGTGGCTGGCGCCGAGCTCTGGCCGCCGTCCGCAGCCGCTGCGCGCCCGGCCGCCCGCCCGCTCCCTCGCTCGCTGGCTGGCTCTCTTCTGGGGCTCGGGCTCAGGCTCGGGCTCGCTGGCTCTCTCCGCCCGCCTGCGGCTCTGATGTCAGTGGAGGAGGAGCCTGCGGCGGAGGGACCGGGATTGGGAGGCGAGGCGCTCTGGACCCGGGGAAAGGGCGCGGGGTCGGGGGCCTTACTGGTTCGGGTCGGAGATGCCCTGCGAGGCGCTTCCGGCCCTTAATCTCCAGTAGGGCTCCATTCCGCAGAGGGGACAGCTGAGGCCCAGAAAGAAGGGGGTTTTAAAATCAGCAGTTGGTCAGAGGCAAAGTAGGATTCGAATCCACATCTGTCTGAAGCCAGAGGCTGGCCAGTTTCACCCTGTTGCCTCGTGAATTTTCTTTTAGACCAGTTATGCGATCCCCTTTAGGAATCCCGGGCTCCTTCTCCCCTCCTCTCTTCCCCTCCCCTCCAGGGTCCGAAGAGAATCGAGCCCACAGAGTTGCTCACAAGACCGGTGGAGGGTGGGGGGTGGGAGAGGAAGGAAAGCATAAGCAACGAAAAAAGCCGAAGCAGTCCCAGGGTGGGGGCCCCACTTAAGAGGCGGAAAAACTGAGGCCCGAGGTCCCTCGGGGAGACAGAGCTGAGATTCCAGTCCCTCAGAGCGGGTGTGGTGCGCTCAGGGACTGGAACAGAGCAGGGAGGGGAAAGTTAAATAAGGATCCTGAAGGAAGCCGGCCAAAAAGGACTGAGATGCCACGTGACTGGCCAGGCTCCGGGGGCCTATGGCTAGGAGCGCAGCTGGGAAGTGGGGGCACGAAGCCAGCTTCTGGGACGGCAGGCAAGGGACCAGAGGTCGGCTTTGCGCAATGCCTTCGTTGGGAAGAAATTCGGTGCCGGGTGGGAAGAGAGCGAAGCAACTCGCAGGAACTGTGGGTGGGGCTGAACTGGGGCCAGCCGGAGGAAGCAAGCTGCTTGGGACCCCCATCCACCTCCACCGACCTCCCAGTGACACTCCCCACCCTGAATTTCTGAATTTTCCAGCTTGAGGTAGGGAGAAAACATGAAATGAGTTGCTTACTCCCGACTCATTTCAACTGGCTTTTCTCTCTTATCAAAAGGTGTTTAATTTATTATGCCCATTTTACAGATGAGAGAAGATAGCTGAGGTTCCTAGAAAGGCTTTGGAGTCTGACTGACCTTAGCCATGCTTTACCTCTCCAGTTTCTTCATCTGGAATATGAGAATATTAATGATTGACTCAGAATTCTCCTGAGAATTCTATAAGATAATGATGTTAAGTTCCTAGAACACAATAGTTCAAAAGATGACAGCTAGACCCGGGGAAGTGGCTCACACCTTGGCAGGCAGAGGTCAGGGGATTGCCTTAGCCCAGGGAATCCCTGGGCAACAGGGAATCCCCGGGCAACGATTACAGCCTCGACCTGCCAGGCTCAGGTGATTCTTCCACCTCAGCCTTCCAAGTAGCTGGAATTACAGGCATGTGCTACCACCCCTGGCTTATTTTTTGATTTATTGTAGAGACGAGATCTCACCAAGTTGCCCAGGTTGGTCTTGAACCCCTGAGCTCAGGCAATCCTCATCTCCCAAAGTGGATTACAGGCTTGAGCCACTGTGCTAGCCTTTTTTTTTAAACTAACACATTATCTTTCTTTTTAAAAATATTTATACTAGCCAGGCTCGGTGGCTCAGCCTGTAATCCCGCGCCATTGGGAGGTTGAGGTGAATGGATTGCCTGAGCCCGCGGGTTCGAGACCCGCCTGGGCAGGCGAGACCTCATCTCTACAATAAAATCAAAAAATTAGCCGAGCGTGGTAGCATGCGCCTGTAATTCCGGCTACTCAGAAGACTGAGGAGGAAGGGTCTCCGGAGCCCAGCAGGTCGAGGCTGCGGTCGCCGGGAATGGCCACTGCACTCCAGTCTGAGCGACAGAGTGAGACTTCAACTCAAAAAAAAAAAAAAAAAGTATTCTAAACAAGCAATACATGGTCATTGCAGGAAAGTTGTATAAAATATTTAAAACACACAAAGACTATCCTTGCCACTTACCTAGTGACAGAATCCCAACTTAAATCAGCTTCATTGAAGAGGAATCGATGGTTCAAAATAGCTGGCACTGCCAGGCATGATGACTCACACCTGTAATCCCAGCACTCTGGGAGGCAGAAGCAAGAGGATTGTCTGAGCCCAGGGGTTCGAGACCAGTCTGGGCTACTTGGCTAGACCTCGCCTCTACAGTAAATCAAGAAAAATTAGCTGGGTGTGGTGGCGCATGCCTGTAGTTCCAGCTACTTGGAAGGCTGAGGCAGAAGGATCCCCTGAATCCAGTGGGTTGAGGCTGCGGTGGCCATGAGAGTGCCACTGCATGCAAGCATGGGCTACAGAGTGAGATGCCAAATCAACAAAACAAAACAAACAAACAAGTCAAAATAGCTGGCACAAGATTGAAGGAAAAACACCAAGGATTAGGGAGGGGTCTGGAGATTAGAACTGGAGATGTAGTACTCATAGAATTTGTTTTCCTCTTCTCTCTCTTTGTCTTTCTCTTTGCATACTGGCTTATTTTCCTCTGAGGAGTGATCTCAAGCTGGCAGGAAACATGGAGTGAGGCAGTGAAACCCAACAGAAGGAGATCTACCCCCTGTTTTGAATATTAGTCTCAATCAAGGACTCTGGCTCTGTGTGAGTGATTGAGTGACATATCCACCCCTTGGCTTCCAAAACTGTTCCTGGGGAAATGAAGTAATATATTGAACAAGTATACTGTGATGAGCAGCCATGAGGAATGGATGGGGTATCTTGCCTAGAGGAAACAGGGGTGCCAGACAGGCAAGAGTAATAGGTCCATCTCCGGCCTGCTCCCACCAACCAGAGATAGCCAGTGTTAACACTTTTGATACAGATTCTTCCAGATTTTTGGGATGTATTTACATATACACACTTCCTTCTGCAGCACATCTCAAGGTACTAATCAAAAAGTGAGGCCAGTCCGGGCTCAGTGGCTCAGCCTGTAATCCCAGCACTTCGGGAGGCCAAGGCTAGTGGATTGCCTGAGCCTGTGGGTTTGAGACCAGCCCGGGCATCTTGGTGAGACCTTGTCTCTACAATTAAAAAAAAAAGCCAGACTTGGTGGCTCAGCCTGTAATCCCACGCCTTGGGAGGCTGAGATGAGTGGATTGCCTGAGCCTGCAGGTTCGAGACCCGCCTGGGCAACTTGGTGAGACCTCATCTCTACAATAAATCAAAAATTAGCTGGGCGTGGTAGTGTGCGCCTGTAGTTCCAGCTACTTGGAAGGCTGAGGTGGAAGGATCGCCGGAGCCCAGCAGGTCAAGGCTGCAGTGGCCGGGAGCGACAGAGTGAGACTCCAACTCAACAACAACAACAAAAAAAAAATCAGCCGGGCATGGTAGTATGTGTCTGTAGTTCCGGCTACTTGTAAGGCTGAGGCGGAAGGATTGTCAGAGCCCAGCAAGTTGACACTGGGGTGGCCGTGACAGCCTGGGTGACAGAATGAGACTCCAACTCAAAAAAAAAAAAAAAGTTAGGCCAGGCATAGTAACTCAGACCTATAATCCCAGCACTTTGGGAGTCCAAGGCTGGAGGATAGCTTGAGCCCAGGAATTCAAGATCAGCCTAGGCAACATAGTGAGACCTTATTTCTACAAAAAATCAAAAAATTAGATGGGTATGGTGCACCCCTGTAGTCCCAGCTACTCAGGAGGCTGAGAAGGAAGGATTGTTTGAGCCCAGGAGTTTGAGGCTATGGTGAGCCGTGATCATGCCACGAACTACAGTCTAGGCAACAGAATAAGACCCTGATTCAAAAATAAAAATAAAAAGTGGGTCAATGAAAGTCAAATATACCTGGGTGAGGTGGTTGGTGCCTGTAATCCCAACACTTGGGAGGCAGAGGTGAGAGGATTGCCTGAACCCAGGAGGTTGAGGCTACAGTAGCCATGATCATGCCACTCCATGCCAGCCTGGATGATAGAGTGAGACTTCAACTCAAAAAGAAAGTCAAATATGTACAGGGAAAAAGGGATACTCTTTTCTTCTCCCTTGTTTAAAAAAGATGACAAAACAGCTCAAGACAACTCTATCAGTGCTTGAACCTGACAGAATATAAACTACTGGAGGGGTGAATGGTTTTCTAAGATTAGAGAAAATGGAAGAAATCACAAGGAAGGCCGGACATGGTGGCTCATGCCTATAATCCCAGCACTTTGGGAGTCGAGGTGAGAGGATTGCCTGAGCCTACAGGTTCGAGACCAGCCTGGGCACCTTGGGGAGACCTAATCTCTACAATAAATCAAAAAATTAGCCAGGCATGGTGGCATGTACCTATAGTTCCAGCTACTTGGAAGGCTGAGGTGGAAGGCTCACCTATGCCCAGCAGGTCAAGGCTGTGGTGACCGTGAGTGTGCCATTGCATTCCAGCCTGGGTGACAGATGAGACTCCAGACAAAAAAAAAATTTTTTTTTAATTAGCTGGGCATGGTGGTTCATACCTCTAGTTCCAACTACTTAAAAGGCTGAGGTGGAAGGATCGCCTGAGCCCAGCAGGTTGAGGCTGCGGTGGCTATGAGTTATGAGCATGTCACTGCACTCCAGCCTGGGCAACAGAGTGGGACTTCAACTCAAAAGAAAAAAAAAGAAAAGAAATCACAAGGAAAAAGATGAACAGGTTTATTTACAAACATTTAAAAAAATTCTTAGCCAGGCATGGTGGCTCATGCCTGTAATCCTAGCACTTGGGAACCAGAGGCAAGAGCCCACAGGCTTGAGACCTCATCTCTACAGTCAATCAAAAAATTAGTTGGATGTGGTGCATGCACCTGTGCTTCCAGCTACTTGGAAGGCTGAGGTGGAAGGATCACCTGAGCCCAACAGGTCAAGGCTGCAGTGGCCATGAGTGTGCCACTGCACTCCAACCTGGATGACAGAGTGAGACTCCAACTCAAAAAAAAAAACAAAAAACAAATAAAAAACCTACCTTACTCCAAAATTGTAGCCAACAATGATAGGCAAACCTGAAACTGGAGAAAAGTTTTACAGACAATGAATTGATATTTTTATTATATAAATA